ATCTGCGTAGCCCTTCAACCTCAAGTTACGGTTCCGGGATTGTGTGGAAGAGTAAATGTAGTCCTTTTCTGTGCACAAAACCTTCGCAGCGCGTAATTGTGGCAGACAGATAACAATCCCCGCTCGGTGCCCACTGCCTCGAGGTTTAAGTAACTTCGCAGGGAACGATTTCCGACTCTCTGACCTACAGAACCTTGACCGACTTCCACTGGCACACACGCACGCGCGCACACTTTCAGATGGTCAGGGCTGCCTAGGAGCCACTTGAACACGCCACCTCTTGGCCAACGCAGCATGGACCCCTATACTCGACCCCCCCCCGCCCCCCTCGGGTAGTGCAACTCACACCACTTGAACTTGCTCCACGGGCACGCAAAAGCGACTGCTACCACCGCCTCAAACCTCACTGGACATAGTCAACACTAGTCCTGGTTTCGCCCATGGCCGCTGTAGCCTGAGACATCAACTTGGGATTCCATTGAGACGAATATTCGGTCGCTGAGACAGTACTCTTATTCGCCTGACGTTTCAAGATCCGTCGCGGGGTCTTCATCAGAGACATGGGTAGAAAGCAGTAGCAGAAGCGAGTAACACATGCACAGGAAGTTGCAGCATTTGCAGGCCAGAGTCATTAGTGCACACGTATGACGACAATTAACGCTAATTGCACCCCTATTTGTCAATTGTTTGATTACCGACATGCAGGCCCTGACTTGCTGAACTTTCGTCAAGCGTGGTGGAGTTGGACGTGATGATGGCTCGGTAACCTGGTTCCCCGATGTTGGTGTAAGACGACGCGGCGGCCTGTGCGTTCTCCAAGTGGTGACTTGCTTCGGCTAAATTGAGCCTCAGCATCGAATATGGATTGGGAAGGTCTTTGCACTTGCTTGTGGACTAGGGCCCGTGAACCATGACTCAAGTAATTTTCGGCTCATACGATTGTCACCTTTGCGAGAATTTCGACCTCGACAAATTTGAATGTGTGGCTGGGTCTGTCGAATGGGCTGCAACTTGAGAATCGGCATAATTTCGCCGCACTGCTGCCGCGTGTTCGACGAT